AAGTCATCTTTTACTTTACCATCAAACGAATTTGCCGCGAAAAAACAATTTTGTTAAAAATTTTAACACTAAAGTTTTTAATTAATTAACTTTAGTTTATTTAACTAATTGTATAAACTATAATTAATGAATAAAATTATTGAAATTGAATAATTTATAAAATAACATATAATTTGTCAAAAAAAACTATGGCATAGTTTACTGTGGATAGGTTGAAAAGGTGTGGATTGTAAATATAGATAGACAATTGTTATTATTACATGTTGTTCAAAATAAATAACATAACTTGTATTTTTGAGTGGTTTTTGTTGGTATTTGCCGTATAGCAATATGTTATAAATTTGAGCAATTTACTATTGTTATATAATTAAATTTTAAACTTTTGGTTAAAATGCGGTATTTTGCCATTTAACTTTTTTAAAAGTTTTTATAGTAAAAGTATAATACCATTTAACAATGTTTATAAAATTTGTTTTAAACTATTATTAGTTTGAATTCAAAATCAAAACTAATATTTTAATACAATTTATAATAAATTGTGGTTTTGAGTATAATAGTATCATTATTAGTTTATTTATATTAAATATAATAATAAAAAATAATAGTTAAAAGTTATTTCATTATAATAATGTATTTTGAAAATAATTTTTTGAAATATTTTTATATAAATTGTTTCATGATTTGTCATAAAATAGTATGGCATAGTTTACTGTGGATAGGCTGAAAAGGTGTGGATAGTAAATATAGACAGACAATCTTCATTATTACATGTCAGATGTAATGATTAATATAACTTGTATTTTTTAATGGTTTTTGTTGGTATTTGCCGTACGATTCTATTTTAATTAACCAGTATTGTTATGATTTTTTAATAACATAAATAATAACTTATGGTTACAATGTGGTAATTTGCCATTTAACTTTTTAACGTTTTTATAGTAAAAATTACATTTTATTTAACTATGCAAATAGAATTTGTTTTGTGATTATTCTGTCATTTTTATGTTCATTAATAATATACTATTGTAATATAATTTATTGTTATTGATTAATAGTTTAGTTTAGACATAAAACCTTTGTCTTTAACATTTTCAACAAAACCTGAATATTTTTTTGGATATAAAACCCGTCTTTATACGTATAAATTGCGCCAACTAAAAGTCATTATTTAACACATTTCAATTCCCAAATAATATTATTAAAATAATAAACTAATGGAGTGTTTATATAAATTACAATACTATTAGTAAAAAGTAATAAAAATGCATTTTTGAGCCACGATTAACAATAAAATAATATAATTACAAATTGATATTTAAATTAAATATTTTTTAATGCAAAAAACGGGAATTTTCCCAAATTATAATCCCATAAATCACTTAAAAATGTTTTTTCAATTAAAAAAAACAAAAAAATAGCGTTACATGTATCAAATAAACGGGATAATACACGTAAATTTGTTAATTATTTTATTTGTTCATTTTGATCTATTCTTATTTTATCACTTCAAAAAAGGCTGAAAATAGCGTTTTTTTACTATGAAATTATTGCAAATATTGGAAATACTCCTTATGGGGGTATTCATGTTTGTGTATCATTTTTGTCCCATAAATGATCATAAATAACAATTATTAATTTTAAAAATCATAACATATGGTTTAAAACGGATATTTGAATTTTTTCGACAAAAAAATAAGAGGCTATCCACACAAAATATTCCAATCCGCAGGGATTGACCATTTCCGTGTGGATACGCCCTATCACGTTAACACTCTTTAGTAATAACAAAAGTCGCCGAACAGCCATTAATAAAAAAACAATGGTATCAAATAATATTTAATTATTTGTATTTTAACTAGTATCCAATATGTTGGTTTTTAATAGTAGATTCACACAATGAGAAATCTTTTAATTCCTTCCCTTCAAAATAATTTATATTGCTATTCTTGATAAACACATCTTTAATTTTTACAAAATAAAATCCAGACAAATTTGCATTTGACATTATAAATTTATTTAACGTTCCAACTTTGAAAGTGATGTTTTGATTTCCAACATTAAAACAATTAATTTCGTTGATATCATCTGGTGTTATATCTGAGAAATTAAAACCGTCTAAAACATTGTACACAAGTAAAATCTTGTTTTTGAAATTGAATTCGCCTTGCACATAAATATCACCAACACATGTATCTCCTTTAAAAAACATATATCTGGTTCTTTTATTAATATTTGTTTCCAATTTGCAATTTTCACAGAGTTGCACAACAAAAGTGTTTTTGTACATAACATTGTTATACACAGAAACAACATCATCACTAAATTTTTGTTGATTCTCACTTTTCCAAATTTTAAGTGATTCATTAACAACAATTGTAGTACCTGTGTAATTGTTAATATAGACTTCGACTAAATTGCATTCATTTGTAATCACATTACCTATTATGTTTTTTACTTGAAGGTATTCAGTCGTCTGTGGTATTTTGAGTTCACAAAATATAGCTTCAATTAATACAATCTTTTTAATAAACATGTTTTCTGGAGATGACAAATCACATTTTATGATTGACCGTAAAACATCAGTGGGAAATGGACTATTGACAATTTGAATTTCTTCAGAAAGAGCTTTTCTGATATATTGAAATAAATTGGACTCTCCAAGAGCGTCGTCGTATATTTTTGTGGCCACGCATCTTGGGTATTCAAATTTGATAAAAGGGAGGAAATTTAAAATTGGATTAGTCAGAACACTTTTTGTGATGAAAGAAACGTAAATTTTAACATTAAGAGGAAGATGTGCAATTTTTTCAATAATTGTCTTGGAAAAATCGCTGTCATCTTTTATAAAAAAGAACAAATTGATGACAATATTAATGTGTTTTTGAAAGTCAAATTGATCCAAAAAACACATTGAAGTTGTACCAATTGCCAATGAAACTCGAGTTAAAGTGGGACATTTTAAAACATTAATGACGTCTTGGACATTAGATTGTACAACTGCAGTGTTTAAAGTAAAGTCTTTGAGTTCATAAAATTGATCAATGCAACGTGAAAGCCTTTCAATTTCTGTTCTGTAAACACATAATTTTCTCACACGTTTAGGGAACCATTCAGTCAAAAACATGTCCGAAAAATGACTATAGAGTCCATAATTATTATAAAAATCACATGGAAATCGTCCAAAATCAAAGTAAAAATCGCCACTAATTTCTAAGTCTGAAAGGTCTCTGTAAATCTCTAATGGTAGAAATAAAGTTTCAAGACGTGGAAATATTTTGAGAATTGTTTTTATTGATGTTGTTGTTGGTAAATTAAAAGGATTGATATATAAGCTTTGAATGATTTGAATTGTTGTTTTGTTGATACAAACAAAACTTGAAATATCATTGAGTGTCTCAAGATACAACACAACATTCCGAAGGTAAAAAGGTTCAAGTTTACAATGCATTTGACGTTTTAGTTTTAATTAAATGATTCTTATATATCATATAAAATTAAATATCATTCGATAATTAATAATAATGATTTATTCAACTTATAGACTATTTTTAACCTTGTCTATTAGTAAAAAATACACAAAAAATATTTAAATATTTGGGAATTTGCCAAAAATTCATGAAAATGGTAAAAAAACTTAAACAATGATTTTCTGACATTTCGAATTAAATTCCAATACTTTTAAGTTATTACTATTAAAAAACAAAAGGACAATATTGTTGAACAACAAAGTTAAGAAAACGACTTTTATTTATTATATACAAAGAAGCAATAAAAGTTTGTATAAACAATAAAACGAATACTTTTAAGTAAATGAACCTTAGCCCAACAAATGTACTTTAGCCCATCTATTTTTATTTTAACTGGAGAAGTACTGGTTATTTTCATTAAAAATGGGTTTTAATTAAGAAACAAAAACGTGGATTAAAAAAAGACTTATAAATATATGAATAGTTTATTATTATATACATAGCAAA